ATTGTTTTTTTTTTGTTATCATCCTACAGGCTCTGACATGTTAGATAAATTTGAAAATCAGGTTTTGAAAAAATCCGTAAGACTTGAAAAAATCCATGAGATTGCTCTATACACCCGTATACCTGCAAAATGACATTAAATCCTTATAACTTACAGACAATCCGTACAAGTTGACATGTATGAGCAGGGTTTGTACGTTTTATTATCAGCTGAGCTGTGATGAAAAGAAAAATACTGTCAAATACCGTGAAACCGATGAAAATGTTGAAAATATCGTGATATAAAATTTTGATCATGTCGCCCAGCCCTACTAGCTACTCACTAGAAACTCATCAGTGAGTAAAACTTTATTAGTTTTACTTTTAATAATATTTCTGTATTTAGTTCAGATTTAGTCAGTCATAGTATATCCTATTGAGAGTGTTTTTTTAAGTAAGGTGTCCAAATTTGACATTTTTTCAGCATTTAACAAATAAACTCTTTGTCACAGTTCTTGTTGATTAGGACCTGTGGTCACTCTAATCATGCTGCAGTAGCAGAACACTGATGGTGTGACAAGATTGTAGCCCRGGCAGGAGAGCAGTGTTGCCAGCCCAGTTTTAAATTCTCAATGGCCAAAACACGTTGATGTGCATGGGCCCAATCATGTTGCTATGCTCATTTAAGAACCTCATCACATTAGGGTTGGGCATAATTGTATCGTGTGCGATTAATCGTCAGAAAAATATTAATCRATTAATTTTTGACACTTGACGATTAATACGATTAATGCCACCAGGCGGACAGTCAGTACACTTGGTGCTCCTCTCCGCTTCAAATATGACGAACATTAAAAAAAAGTAAGTTCTGTAATTTATTTATCTATCAACAACATTTAAAATTTGATGTATAGCCTGAAGTCGGTAATTTTGACAAAATTTGAAACAGATTTTTATGAAGAGCAAATCTTTACTACTAAATTGGTCATGTGACTATGACATAAGAGTGTTCGGGGACTGCAGGGGATTAATTGTCAAATTAATAGTTATCGGCTAAGTACCACAGTTAATCGTGATTAATTTTTTGCCAATAATGCCCAACCCTACAATATATAAACCACCACAACCTCCATATGGAAGTTTGTTGCATTCTCAAAGCCATCATAAACCTACCAGGCACCATTATACATAGTTGATCCTACTGGGTTCTTAATAAGCCCTTGAAGTCGTCATCAAAACCACACAAAGACAGTTCACTTTCTGGCAGTTTTTTATATGCAGTGTGAAGTGGGCTTTAAATGTTTCTCTACTACCTTGGAATCACATGCTTTTTTTGTTCTCAAAAACTTTTGCAAGTACTTTAGAGAAGCACCATTACACAGAAAAAATGTGAAAGGACCATTTTAAAACCATTGGGCCTCATGCAAGAACCGTTCGTACGCACAGATTTGTTCTTAAATTGTGCGTACGAGTGATTTAGGAGAATTTGTGGCATTA